GTATTAGCTCCACTTTGGTCCATCCCAAAAATTTTCGCCATTCCAAAATCAGCAATTTTAGGGATCATATTCGCATCTAAGAGAATGTTGCTGGCTTTGAGGTCACGGTGTATGATTGTGAGACGTGAATCTTGATGAAGATATAGAATTCCTCGAGCAATCCCTCCAATGATCATGTATCGCTGACTCCAGTCTAGCTGACCTTGTTTTTCAGTGTCTGCCCATGTCCAAGTAATCAATCATTTTAAAGCTTAAGAAGGATCCTTTGAATAAGCAAATTATTGAAGGGAACCATACCGAATAGGAAGTAGTCAAGGCTTTTGTTTGGGACAAACTCATAGATCAGAATCTTTTCCTCTCCTTCCAAACAGAATCCAAGAAGCCTAACCAGATTCCTATGTTGAAGTTTTGACACAAGAACTGCCTCGTTCCTGAACTCCCTTGAACCTTGGCCTGACGTTTTTGACAGTCTCTTCACAGCTACTTCAGTTCCATTTGAAAACTTACCCTACATACCATAAACAAACATCGCCGGTTATCTCCATAGCCTAATAGTAACTTAGAAAAACTTGAAAACAGAGAACCTCCTTACCTTGTAAACCTCGCCAAATCCACCTTCACCGAGCTTATTACTCCTCGAAAACTTGTCTGTTGCAGCTTCAATTGTTTTAAAATCGTATTGCGATGAATGTTCAGTTGAAATATCGCTATCAGCTGCAAATCAAGGGTACCATTTATGCTTCTTGTTTCCTCCTCTCTTGGCTAAGTGACAATATTTTTGTATCAACAGGAAACTACAAAGAGCTAAAACACAAGAAACTTACATTCCATTTCAGTTCTTTGGTATGGCTTTCTCCTCCGAAAAATAACAAATCCCAAAACAAGTAGTATCAAGACGACAACAACAGTTGGAACAATAATCGCCACGACAATTCCAGCTGAGATTCCTTTGCTATCTTCTAATAACAGAAAAATAATGTCATATATACAATCATAAATTTTTTAGTTGCAAAGACTTACCACTATCCGTCGTGTTATCCTTGTCGCCTGAAGGTTGCGGCACAATCGTAGGAGGAGGAGAAGGGACCGTAACATTATCAAAAGCCTTAGAGAATAACCGATACAAATCCCACCTGAAAAAACAGCTTGGCTGCGTAACAGAACCTCCTTTCTTCTGACTACAACATGACTGGTACGCAGCTGCGCTTTCTCGCAGACAATTCTTACAATCACGAGAAGAAAGATCCGGCGTGCATTGCATCAGTGCATATATATCCTGGGAAGTTGACAAGGCTGCAACATCAGCTTTGTAGTAGTTACTACTAGAAGATGGTGTGCTTTTTGCCTCGGAGCTTCATCAATCATACGACTCATTAATCCTTCCCATATTGCCGTGAACTCTGTTAGATCTGAGTCGATATCTCCAGAGTTCCAGGCAAAAACACGCGGGGACAGATCTGCAGATCCTGAGAAAGAAGTGTTGGAGTAGCGAACAAGGCAAAGCGTGGGTTCACCTGTCCATGAAAAAGCTTGTGTCTGGTTATAACAAGTCTGTGTCAAACCATCGGAAGCTTTCTTGACACAATCAAAACAATCATTTGCATCTGATCCTGGGATGCACATCCCTATTGCATAGACACGGTTCGGTTCTTGCCCGATCGAACCGTAGTGGTAGAAGTCGTCTTGAGATGAGACATTCGAAGGAAGAGAAGAGAGGATGAGACGGTGATTTACGTCGTAAGTACTGTTGGGTACGAAAGTCCCACGGTTCATGCAATTTTGTGCTGAAACTGACGTAACACCAAAGCTTATGAGGACAAAACAGAGGATTGATAAGAAACTTCCCTGCTTCATTATTGTTCCTTAAAGATTATAGCGAAAGCAAAATCTTCATTATTATCCGTTTCTTAAAAGTTTAAAATGCAAATTTAAGTTTCTCCATACGGTAGTCAGTAACGCG